CTGAGAAGCGGTACAGAAAATGCTAGTTCAGTTTTGAGGTGGCCAAAGGCCCTCTTCCACCACCGCCCGATTGGCGGAAGCCCTGGCTATCGACTAAAGGAATTCAGGGCTCGAAGTGCGTAGGGCCAGGGAGCCGGAAGCCCGCTCTGCACTTCGGCCGTTCCAGATGCCTAGTCTACGGCTTCAAGGAATGAGGCCTTGGCGTTTTTGATCGTTATACTCATGAGAAGGGACAGCGAGTCTGCATGGAAGGTAGAAAGATTACGCAGCAGGAGCATTTGCGCCTCCCAATGCGTCTTGTGCCCCGATCGGCCCTAGTCTAGAAGTCCGCTTGATTCTGATGTTTGAAAACATGTCCGGTGTTAGCTTTTGGTGAAACTTCCTTGCGAAGAAAGTTCACATGTCTTAATAAATTTGATATCCCCGTTGAAGCGCCAAACCCTACGGAGGCACAGTGGGAATGAGGGCTTCGACCCTTGAGCAAATTGGGACTGGGCGCCTGGTTTGCTATCAGTTCTATCATATTCTATTCTACCGTAGTAGAGTTATATGAGAATATGTTATATAATATAATTGTATTAGATTTGTGCAAAGCTTTGCAACTTGTCAATGCAACAGTGAATGGCGACCTTACATCCTAAAGGGAAACCTCCCGCAGAGCCTCAAAGCCGAGGTGGCGGCAGCACCCAACGGCAGTGGCCTCAGATGTCAAGTTCCACTTTTCGCCATGTAAGAGCTGCCTTCGACGGTTCCGTGTTTAGAATTTCAGTAGGTTTGCATACCCCTTGGAGATCGTCCCCTGCAGGAAGGCCTTTGCTTGGACTGCCCGGCCTTTGTCAGACATAGTCTCGGCATCGTCCCGTCTTTTGTATTGCAGCAGCTCGCCTAAAGCGAAGCCAGTAAAGTTCCGGAAACAAAGGGGGCGTCTCGGATGGAAAAATGGAAATTCAGCCACAAGAACCACAGCAAACTGCCCAGGCAGCGCCGTCAAGGAGGACGCTTCTCGTTAACACCAAGCTGGAAGAGAGGTTCTTAGTCGTAGCCTACTGGTGTTGAATTCAGGGCCGGCCTTGGGAGTCTTATCTCCAGCTGTGCAGCAGCCTCTTGGGTGTCGCACCTGGAGCTGCCCCATTTGGGGTGGTCCCTTCCTAGTGAAGTTGGACTCGGCTAGTTAGCTCGTTTTTGTTTCGGAATGCCAACTCGATATAGCACCGCCCGGAATGCTGGAAGTGCAGCTGGATTGGGTTAGGCAGAAGGATCCTCGCCCTGCAGCTTTGTCTGGTAGACGGGAAGCATTCGCGAGTGCAGGAGTGCTCTTAGCCTCTTAGTAGTAAGGCAAGCAACAGACCTTAACATGCACATGCACGTTTACGACTCCAACTTGCGAGCACAGGTAAAGCACGAGCGACACCAGCATGTCCAGTTGTTGATTCCGTGGACCGCTTGATGCAGGAGACCTTGCCGCCTCTTCCACAAGCTTTGGTGTCCTTGAGCGCTGCATACTCAAAAGCGCGCTCAATTTCACTGATGTGTGGATCTGACTAAGAAGCGCGAAAGCAAGCAAGCTAGGAAGGTTGTTTGCAGTGTATGTGATATATCTGCGGGATTCAAAAACTGTAGTGTACAAACACAATCACAGTCAACTTGTACTCAGCAGTTTGCTTCATGTCTTTCTTGTGGCTGCGATTGTAACGCACGAACTAGTTATCACATGGGTGCCTGCTGTTGTGCCTTGCCGCCAGGAATGCTTTTGATACTTTGGTTGACGGCCGTTCTCTAGCCTCTGCTGAAGAGCCCTTCAGGTCGTTATTGTCGTCATATTGATGTACACTAGACTGGCTTCGTCATTCGTTTTCCAGGGGATATTACATAGTTGGACTGTTGTCATTACTGATGTTCGAACTGTTCCTAAGCTATTATTGCTGTTATTGCAACTATTGAGCTGAGTGACGCATTGGGGTCCCCTTGGCCGGGTTTGTACGAGTCCCATAGTGCATGAGGCAAAAGGGATCTAGAGTCTGAGTCCTCTAAATAACCTATATAGACCTTTGCACCGAGTTGACTCGTTTCCAGGTTTTCGTGTCTTCAAACCTATGAGCCATTCAAAGGCAACGAAGGAAAGAAACTGAAGAGAAAGAGCAAATCAAGCAGCCCAAGCTCTACACAGTAAGCCGCACATCCGCATGCCTACTGTATTACTGCCTTTCAGCCCTAAACCGAAAGCCCAATCTCCACATACTAAAAGTCTTGGGATCCTAAATCCACAAGGTGGCTTACAAGAAGCCCGTCATCCCTAACATCCTAAGCCAGCTTGGTTACTGCCCCCACTCTGTAACAGCTGGATAGTATTTCGAACGCCCTACTTTTACTTAGCCCTCATTATGATACAGGGTGGGGTCAGTACCCAACCTATACCGTAATCCCAAGTAGCTTACCTTTATAAGGACTTACACAGAGAACTCATAGGAAGGAGCCCTAAAATTGGGTAGGTTATTTGGGGTCGTAGCCCCTAAACCCTAAACCCAAAGCCCTGAGCCCGAAGCCCCAAACCCGAACCCCGAAAAGCCACCAAAAAAAGGCCAAAAACCGGATTCCGAGGCGGTGCAGCGTCTGGTTTTGGATGAGGGCGACCGCCTTATTGAGGAAGGCTTCGAGGAGGCGCCTTTAGGGATGCGGCCTTTAGGGTTTAGCAGGGTTTAGGGTAGTTAAGGGACCGGGTTTAGGGGTTTTCAGGCTTTTACATCAATTTTATTATGACAAAGGCTGACAAAGGTTTATGGCTTAGGGCTTTACATCAAGGTTTCGTTTTAAAGAACGTCGTTTAACAGCAGCAAGATTATGGCTTGAGAAAGGTGCTTGAGGACTTAGGAGTGTAAGGCTTTGCATCACGAACTCGTTTCGAAAATGGTTTTCAGGTTTAGGGTCCAGGGCATAAGTGCTGACGTTTGAAGCTTGGCTGAGGGGATTCAGGGCTTGGTGCATTGCAGTCCTTGCTCAAAAAGAAAGGGCCCAGGGCTTTACATCAAGACTTTTGCTTGAACAAGTGTTATTTTAGGCTTAGGCTTAGAGTTTGCAAAGACCTTGGTGAAGGTGAATCTTTCAAGGTTTTAGTGCTGCACATCGTGTAGACTTATAGGGGCTAAGGGTTTCGTCAGTATTGCCAGCTGCAGGTGGGATCTGGATTCGTCGGAGTTGAAGGGCGTTTGATTTGGCGCCCTTGTGGCTTACTCTCCGAGTTGCGCAAATGGTTCCTGCTGCTTGGGTTCGGGAGTTCGCATTCAGTTCTTTGGGATGTCTGGCTTCTACTTGAAGGTTCATGGGACTTAGTAGCTATGGTTATAAATAAGGTACTTACACTTATTGGATATAACCCCAGTTAGGGTACTTATAACTGTACTTACTAAGTCCCATGAACCCCCAAGTACAGTGCCAGAAGACAACGCAGCAGTTGTCAGGGACGTGTCCAACTCGTGTTTAGATTTAAGACCAGCTCCAGCAACAAACCGACTGCCGCAACAGGGTATACCACTGATGCGGTATACTCTTCTCAGATCGCTTCAAGAAAGCACTGCCAACGTTGGAGATAAACGGGTGCGCAGCCTCGTGCATGGGGCAGGTCAGGGCTTTGTGCGTTGGGGCTTTGGGGTTCTGGAGACTTTCAGCAGATTGCAGATGTACCCATCTGTTCCCTCTAACTAATCGAGACGACTTTCGTGGTAGTAACTTTGATTCCCGAGTTCATTGGTTGGATGCGTCGTATGGATGCCGAAGTATTGAACCTTGGTTTTTTCTGAGTTATATAAAACGTAGAAAGTAAAGTTTAGATTTTTTGCGGCAGAGTCCGCCTGATGCTTCAGGGGAGGTTTGACATGTACTACCACTGTTCTGGGCCATAAGAAACTGAACCTCGCCCCTGTGGCTCTTCAGCGCTGTTCTTCAAAGCCTCCACCGTCGTGCCAACACATTCCTGCGCAGCAGCCGGGTCCTCAGAGCAGAACCGGCCACGGAGTCGTCGTAGTAGTAGTAGCAGTAGTTTTAGCCGCAGTCGTAGTCGTCGCCTTCGCAGTAGCCACGGCGAGCGTGTTTCGATAGCATGACACGGTGCATTTGCAGAGCCGCGATTGGAACAAAGTAGTGGCGCATTGCAGTTGCTTCATGCGGGAATGAGGACAGATGTTTGCAAAGCCGTCTTTAAAGCAAGCAAGTGTGTTTGTGCCGTGAACTTTCGTTTCAGACGACTGAAGATCGACGATTTCAATCTCAACACAGCTCCCTGCTAACTTTACTCGGCTCAACCAGGTTCTATTTCTCACCATGCCCAAGAACAAGCTTGGTGGTAACAAAGCGAAGCGCGCCAAGGAATGCCCCCAGTTCTTGAGAGCGAAATTCCTCAACTTGCGTGGGATGTCACCGGCTACAGAGCTGTTGGGAAGAGGGCATGAGTAGGGTTGCGCGAGATTGATCGCAGCCTCTATTTTGGCTGTCTTGCTCAACTAGAGACTTTCGGCTTGGCAAGGGTTCCCAGCTTTGCACGAACATCATTGGGCTTCAAGAGCCCACAGCGAGTAAGAAGACTCACATCCAGACTTATTGCAGCCGTCTTGAGCATAGAAAACAGAAGAGTGCGGTTCTACTGGTGATGACAGGCGAGCACGGAGAACAACAAGAAGGAGCTGGAGTTCAAAGAGGACGGGCAGGCGCGGCAGACGGACTTTACTTGCATTGACATGTGTGATCGAACCACTGAAAGGTATCCGCGCCTGCCCATCTTAGAACACGGCTCAGTCAAACCTCTACATGTAGTTGTGTTGGTGCCGTAGTATGCCTGCTTGTGCTGCCGGCCACACCAGTTTTTGCAATCTACAGTGCATGTTATCTTCTCCCGAGATGCACCTGCGCCCCCGGTATGGACATAATCAGTTCGCGGTTAGATCTAGATTCTTGAAAATAGGCGGAAGCCAAATACCCTTCACTGCAAGGAGTACGGGCAAATTACCCGTATGTTGGGAAACGGCCGCTGCGACGTGCAGTGTGTGGACGGAGTGAAGCGGCGACCTGGACGCGGTTTTCCGAGAGATTTCAGATATGATATTGTTACTAGATCTAGTTAATTGCAGGGGCCATTATAGTGAGGTGGGCTTTTGGGGTCTAGTGCGAGAGTCTACATGGGGGCGCAGTTTCAGAAGCCTGCGTATGTCAAAGCCAAGAAGACGAAAAGGGACCAGTGAGGGAAGCCTGCGCATCATGCATCATCTCTGACTGCCCATCAAAGGCTGTGCCACATTCGTGGCCACTCGGCAGTACAAGCAGAGTTTGCATTCTTGATATTGCCGCACCAGGACTCCAAAAGACTGCTACGGTTTGGCGCATGAGGTCTTTGACGATCTTGCGCATGTCTGGCATTTGAAGTGTTTTCCGGCGTTGCCAGCGGCAAGATGCAGATGGAATGCAAGATCGCGGTAGACCTACTGCAGGGATGCTTTCTGGGGGTATTGCAGAGCACGGATGGAGTATGATACAGTAGTTGCGTCATAGCTGTTCTACAAGTGCTCTTTCTCGCCCGCTTGAGGTGGCTTTCTGATCGAGGCGTTGACTGAAACTCAAAGCCTTGCCTTGCAAATTGAATATAGGTGTCTGCAGGCAGCTAGCGACTTCTTTGCAGAGTTAAAAAGACTTCTCTCTCTCTCTCTCTCTCTCTCTTTGTCCGTCCATCTCTCTCTCTCTCTCTCTCCCGCTTGCTCGCTTTCTCCTCAGTCTGTGGTCGCTGCTAAAACACAACAGAGAGGAGAAGTTGTCTTCAGCGAGCAAACTTACGGATCATAGATGTTTTGTCATACATGCAGATAAATGTATGTATGCATGTATGCAAGCATGTATGTATATATTCAGACATACACACATGTATACAGCAAAAAAGTGTCTCTACTTTAGCCGAGAGGTGCTGCTTGGGCACAGTGGTCAGAGTTGAGGGCTTGGGTGTTAAAGACTTAGGTTTTAGGCCTCGGAGCCTCAGTCCAGCGTTCATACGATCTTGAACCCGTAGTCGAAAAGCCCTACGCCCCAGAGCGGAAGCAAGGACACCGCTACCTCAAACTTCAGGTAAGATGAGAAAGAAGGTTTGGTGCAATCAGGGCGACATTGTCTTGGTTTCCCTCCGAGATTTCCAGGCCTTGGTGACAGTTGGTGTTGCATGTTCCGGATTTTCTGTTGTTCCCATTGTTGTCCTTACAGGCCTTGGGAGTTTATCGGGATGAACACTAGCAGTCTTGTAATCGCTGTTCTGATCTGGTGCAGGCTCCATGGCAGAATGCCTCAAGGGATGTTGGATGTGCATTGATTTCTCACACGCGGCATGGCGTAATACAGCAGGAACTTCGACGCTGTCTCTTCTGCGGGTTGTACGCCGTTTTGCAGGGTGCCTGGCCAGGGCTAAGCCTTGTGGCCCATGCCCCGGGAACCCCAAGGCCATGAACCCTGGAGCTCTGAAGCCGATAGGTCTGCATTGCAAGGCTTCAATGCTTCAAGCTTCCTACCTTGTCATGGGGGATCGATGACCCCACCCAGCCCGCCTCAAGAGCTGGGAGTCCATGGTCCAGAGACACCTTCCGCAATGTAGGGGTCAGGGGTTTCACAAAAAATGGGTTGACGGAACGCTGGTGACACTTGGCTGATCGCGTTGAAGGGTCCATGGCGTTGAGCCCTTCTCGTTGGACGAATCAAGTTTGCCCTAACCCCCTTCTTACGACAACGGCTCCCTACGTGCAAATGAGACGCGATATGCTGAAGCCAGAGCCTGTCTGCAGGACGAGAAAGGCGACATCATCACCAAATACACCGCCGAAGAGGCCCGCAGCTTAAAGGCCTGGAAGCCGTCTGCAAAGGGGAGCGAAGGGCTGGGGGCTTTGGGTAGTTTGACTCTACGGTAGCTTTAGTAGGCTTGTATCTTACGAAATTGTGCAACGCTTGGGTTCTGGCAACTTCACTGGCATTTGAGTTTACAGTGCTCGTGGCTGTGGCGGTAGCTGCATCTTGGGGGTGAATAGGTGCAGGCTGTAAAAGGTGTTCTACTTGGGGCGCTGCAAACACCCGTTGATTCAGAGAGCTCTAGACCTTCATCGTGGCATTGACTCCTTAGCGGCGGCGGCTTCTTGCGAGGGGCCACGTCGGTACCAGCCCAGAGATTGCCGGACCTTGAGATGGCGGACATGGATCAGAGCTCTTGCCAGATCTAGATGAGCGAACTATGGGAACCGGATGAAAACGTGGGGCCTGGCGAGGCAACATGGAACAAGAAGCACTTGACTTCACACAACCCGAGGAGGAAGGTTACGAAATGTCGACGGCGTGCGAGATGCTCTGGTGAGCCCGCAGTCGTCAAGCCAAATGCTGGCGAATCGTAGCAGCACTACCACATCAGTCGGCTGCCGGTGAGAGGCTTTCTTACTCCCCAGCTCAGCCAGCTGTCGTAAAGGTGTTTGCACATGATTCGGGAGTTTACGTCTTGCACAGGAAGTTTTATACCTAAGTCAATGTGGTATGCAAGGGCTTGCGCCACAGGGTCTTGCGCATGTGTTTACCTCGCATCCGAGCTGCCGGATCTAAGCGATCGCGATTCAGCGATTGAGTCCGATTGAGCATAAGATGCTGTAGGCATGGGGAACCGAAGCGTCCGCCTACCCGAAACGAAAGGCCTATGGGGAGCTGCCGGAGAATGTGGCCTTGGCAAGAAATGGTGACAGCTTCTGGTATCGTAGGTAACTGACTATTTTTTGCCTGGGTGTAGTGCAGATGCGTGAGAATTTGCGCTGCACCGGTCTCCATGCACCCAAATCTGTCCTGTCAGCATCGTTGCTGAACCCTCACAAGTCCCCAAAGTTCCAAACACGTGCAATCCTGTCAAAGTCGATCGGCCCCTGCGATGTACAGACGGCGCCCGTCCGGGGAAGCTAGCCAGTCTGTTTCCTTTGGCGTCCACCATGCTGGGCCTAATTCACAAGGTAAGTGACACAGAACGCCCGTGGAATTAAGCTTGATCCGCTCGACTCGAAGTCAGCCTGGTCCTCTCAAGGCAGAAAAGCCACACTCCCGAGGTGAAGATCAATGAGACAGACATCGGCGACGGGGATGACAGTGAGGACGGTGTGGAGTTCGATGAGGCTTCCCGCAGGATTCCTTGTCGGAGCTTGTGGCCGCGCAGAGAGCCTAGGCCCTAGGCCTAGGTGTCGGCCTGTTTTAGGGTTCTTCCGTGCTGGAGGAGATCGTAACCCTGAGAAGGCAGATTTCTTAAAGGTTTGCAGGACGGGGTGGCAAGTCCTTGTAATCACCAGCGGGGAGACTGGAGTCTTCACTTGGCCCAATGCCTCGACAGATGACGTTAGCTACAATAGAATGTTGCAATCTTCTTGACTGCCTCTCTGCCAGACGGCCGGTGTTGACGTGGATAACATCTGAGCTGCTTATCTGAGCACGAGTGGCGATGCCTACTGACCGCATGCGATTCATCGTAGCGGTGTTTTTGGATGTATAGGCATGGCAAGTCGCGCATGTGACCACCGCCGTGTTGCCATTCACCATCGGAGCCTGTTCAGGCAGTTACTTCCGGTTCACATCGGGGGTATTGCCACAAACTCCGAACCTTCACCTGCGAATCCTGTTCCGCACACCTTCGTCAATCGACATTGGGTTTCGCATGGACTCTTTGTTCAAAACGGCTTCTACAAGCCTGCTTGGTGAAACCGAAGCATCACTGCAGCGGGAAGCCGCAAGTTATTCTCAATTCATCAGACAATCGGCAATCTAATCAGATTGCCTTCTTGAGGGTGTCCAAATGTCTCAAACATAAAGGCAGTTGTAATGCTACAGTACGGCATTATGACCCCCAGACCTATGAGTTGTTGCTAATTCTGATGCCCTCAATTTGTGAAATGGTGGGTCATCTCACGCACAGGCAGCGACAGCCCACGGAGTTGTGAAGTATAGCTCCCGGCTGTCATCAGCAGAGATGCGCACCACAATTCGAACCGAGGCTTGACGACGGCTACATGTCAGTACTTGCGCTACCTCTTGGGTTGCTGAGTCTAGTGCATCACCTGATTCTGGCTACGGCTTCTCCTGCCACCCTCGACAGCGACCGTTTCCGTGAACGCCACCACGACGACGACGACGACGACGACTACTACTACTGCTACTACTACTACTACTACTACTACTACTACTACTACTACTACTACTACTACTACTACTACTACTATACTGCAGCTGCTGCAGCTGCTGCAGCTACCACTACCACTACCACTACCACTACCACTACCACTACCACTACCACTACCACTACCACTACTACTACTGCTACTACTACTACTACTACTACTACTACTACTACTACTACTCCTCGTCCTACTACTACTACTACCACTACTACTACTACTACTACTACTACTACTACTACTACTACTACTACTACTACTACTACTACTACTATTACTACTACTACTTCTTCTTCTCCTACTACTACTACTACTACCACCACCGCAGCGACGACGACTACTACTTCTGCTGTTGCTACTGCTACTGCTTTGTGCTGGGAAACGAGGCGCGCTGTTTGGGAGCAAGATTTTGCTAATGTTGCTAATCTTAGGTACGCGCGCCCAAAACAAGCCACCCCAAACCGCTTTCACTGAGGTGAACTGGGACTCAGTCAAATAACCGGAACATCCACGACTCAACCATGATGTCGTTCACAGGGAATGCATCCGCTGATCGGAGCATCCATGGCCCGACCATGATAACGTCCGATGGGACCGCAGCGGCTGACCGGGGCGTGCCTGGCCCAAGCACCACTTGCCCCGGGAAGATTGGCAAGATTACCAAGATTGCCGTTCCCACACCCACCCCCCAAGTGGTGCAAGCGGTCAAGTCGTGCAAGTGGTGCAAGTGCTGCAAGTGTTTTTGGCCAGCTTGGTGTCAATTTGGCCCCCCTGGCCAAGGCAAGATTAGCAACATTGAAGCGTACGTTCTTGCAGAGTATCGAACCTCATTTCCCCTGACACTGACTACTACTACTCCTGCTGCTACTGCTGCTGCTACTGCTACTGCTACTGCTGCTACTACTACTACTACTACTACTACTACTACTGCTACTACCACTACTACTACTACTACTACTACTACTACTACTACTACTACTACTACTACTACTACTACTACTACTACTACTACTCCTGCTGCTGCTGCTGCTGCTGCTGCTGCTGCTGCTGCTTCTGTCAGTGCCACCACCACTGTACCACTGCCACTGCTGCTGTGACTACGACCACGACCACGGCTACGACAGTGCTACGACGATGACGACGACGCCAGCTAATACTTCTGCTACTACTATTACAGTGTCTCCTCCTGCACAGACTTCTCTGACTACGACTGCGCCTGCTCCTTCTGCTACTCCTATTATCTACTACTGCTCCTACTGGCATACAGGTCCCAATGAGGTGGTTTCTCCGGCCTTGTCCCACGGTGCACGCGCTGTTCAGCCATCATCTAGTTTTGCAGTTGTAAGAAGGGGTGCGAAGGCGGTGCACGGTGCCAGTCTTTGCCTGGGTGTCACATCCCCTCTGAGGAAGTGTTGTTTGCCTCTTCGCACATGACCCCTCCTTACACCTGCAGAAAAGCTAGGGCAGCATCAAGCCGTGGTCAGCCCGTGGCATGCCGCGACTTTGCCCTCCGACGACAAGTTCGCACAAAGATTGGAAGACTTCGATATCATGATCTTCAGTGTGCTTGCCAGGCTTTGTTCAAAGCAGGGAGTATTCCTAAACCCTAAACCCTAAACTGCTGTGCTTCAGCCCCAGCACTCACCACTTCTATCCTGCACCTTTCCAATCGCAGTAGAACTCTTTGCTCCAGGTTTGTGCTTTTTGCGCTGAAATCACAAACCTTTTGTAGTTTCATACATGTATATCTAGAGAAATATGTGTCTATATATATATATATATATATTTATTTATTTATTTATCAAAACTTTACGGCATAGTGAGTGTGCCTTTTTGTTGCGTCTTTTTTTCAGCTTCGGGCTCACGGTGTTCTCCTGAGCCAGGACATCAACGCGTTGACCAGCGGATGTTGCAGGCAAGACCAGACGGTTTAGGGTTTAGGGTTTAGGGTTGGAGACCAAGAAGAAGCCGTCCATGTCCCCTGAATTCTTCTCTCGTCCTGAAGCTCGCAATACCTAGAGTCTTTTTTGGTTTAACCATTATATGTT